ATTTAATATTTTTGGCGAAATTCGGATAATCCGTACCTAATCGTGTTTGGGTCGCGCCGGGCCTAACTGATTTTAGCTCCGTGCGTGTTTGCGAATAAGTGTTCTATTTTCGTGCCTGACCGTGCCGAAAAAATAAGGCCCGCGCGCCCATCTTTTGTCCGAAGATACACATACATCCTACCAATATCCGATAGATCGCTTCGAACCACCCTGCTACGACGGCCGCCATAAATTTTTGCTCGTAAATATCGCAGCAATCACATTAAGGCCTATTTTGCAAATAAGTGTCATTCTACTGTAAACATTCATTTACATAAGTATGTATGTTGTATTTATATATGTATGTATGTCCTTTCACGCAGTTGAATATGACCTATAAAATTTTTTTGAAATGCGTGCAGCTTTTTTAACTGCTGTTAAAAATTAAATGCAACTTTCTGTTTGCACAAGTGCGTTCAGTTTGTTCTACCTACCTTCAATGAGGATTACATATCTAAACAATTCTTCTTACCTCGAAGCTAATAATACAACTACAAACAGCCGTTACACAACGAAACGAGGCACATTTAGCATTGACGCATTCACTTAGGATTGAATGGAACGTGCCTTTTGGTAAAAAATGCTCCGATATGCGAAATTTTCGGAGCAACATGCAAAATCAACACAGCCACAAGAATATACCAATGTACATTCACATACATACATACATATATATGCACAGAAGGAAATATGTACGTATGTATGATTGTACGTATAAGTTGGTAAATATATACATTAGGGTGCAACAGTCTCCATCAAAAAATCGGTACTATTTCTCCTTCGGAATTATAAAATATAAAGATACTTTAGAAAAAGATTAAAATTTACGTGAGCTGCACCGATTTGAAAATACATACCGCCAAAAGTGGAGTTTTTTATAGATAAATAAATAGAGTAAAAAAAAAATCAAAAAATCACCTAAAGTTATAGAAGAGCGAACTTAAGCTTAAAAGGTCCGCATAAAGTTTTTAGCAACGGCATCGAAATAATGAGATTTTTGGCGCTATTTTCAAATCAGTTCAGCTTAGGCAAATACTACTATTTACCAAAATATTATTGCAGACTTCCTAAAACACTATAAATTTTATAATTCCGGTGGAAAACCCTGATTTTTTTTTTTTTGTGGGGCACTCTAATGTGCATAAATATGTCTGCATAAAAAGCATAACTGTGTACAAACATAAATACATACATACATACATTAGCACGACTATTGCTTTTGAAGTACATCATGCATTGACATAAATATTTTTGTTGATGTAACGATTTTTTTCAAAAATGACCAAGAGCCGTTAAATATTGGTCTTTTTTTCTTTCCTAACCCCGCCATTTACATACAGCGCGTGCGACTGCGGTTATTTATGATCAATGCAATACTTACAAAGGACTCGTAAACATATTTGATGGCGGAAGGGGGGGGGGGGCGAGTGGACGTATAAAATATTATATCAATGTATTTCGGTTAAACATTATGGTAATTGCGCTTTGGCGAAGGTCAATAATTTACGTCAACGGGTTGTTTACAACATAATGAATTGGAAAATTCTATGCGGCCGCAAACACTGTCAAAAGTACACAGCCTTCTTCACTAATTTCCAATACTAACGCCAGCGCACGAATATCGTAAAAGACTCTTTACATTCGTATTTACTGCTTTTATCGGTTTGCTTTCCGGCTAAGTGAGTTTAAAATTTTGTAAATATCGGTATGTGTGTGAAGGCTAAATGGCGAAAAAATGTACAAATTTGCATAGATGTACTCATAAATTGCCTAAGGCCACAAATTTGAGACTCCAAAGCGCCAAAGAAGAAAAAGCAAATATTTCATGGAAAGCAAATGCTGAGAAACGGCAGTTGATCAAGAAATAATATCTGTGTTTTCGCTGCACATTAAAAAAATAATGAATCGCGGTAAAAAGGCAATATACCTACACACTACATACATATTTATATCGGTTGAATGGCTTAATGTTTTTCTTAATTGTAAAATATTAGTACAGCACAGTGAACGGAAGAAAATCAAAAAGTTTAAAGTTAAAAAAAAAATATTATTAACGAGTTAGGAACCAGCAGTGCCCTGCGCTATTGGGGGCTTAGAATATACCCATAGTAAGGCATGCTTGTGACCCGGGAATTGGCTAAACACTATTATTTTGCGTCCGGTTCCGGTGTTTACACCAAGTATCCCACGGGTAACAACCGAACATCCAATCGGAAGCGAGTGGCGAACACGCCCTCCTTCAATATGTTTTGCGCTGGGGTTTAGACCTACCTCGTAAAAACAAACAACCCCCAACCCCTATGTGCGTTAACGTCAGTGAATACCGCACCCGATGAAACGATGAGCTTTATGAGCTTTACAAAGATGTGGACATAAGTAGTGCAGCGGCTCCGCTGATTTGACCATGTCGTAAGAATGGACAGAAACATTGCAGCTCTGAAAGTATGCAACGAAGGTCGCGATTCTGGTAATAGAGCAAGTGGAAAGCCTACTCCGCAATGGAATGACCAGGTGAAAAATAAATTGGCTAAACTAGGCATTTCCAATTGGTATCAGTAGAGGTGTGTGCCTTGTCTCTTTACTATTCGTATGCGTCAGAGCCGGACCACCGCTTACGAGGTGCATGAGTCGGAAGGCAGGCATGGCGTAGGTCTGAATTTCTGACTGGAAGCAGGCAACGAAAAGCGGCAATCCTCCAGGTGCTGCAACTCCCAAGGCACCACTGTATACAAAGGCTAGTATTACGTAAAGAAGTAGCCGTTTTCGGGATGCAGTAACATCCAAATCTGCTTGTGGGAGGTGCAAAAATAAGATTCTGGTGGCTTACTGCTGCTGATGACAGTGCGGTTTGGCGGAAGTTTTTGCGGGGAGGCCAATTTTCCTTAGGTGTCTATGAAACGAAGCCAAATACAGAAAAATATGACCTTACCAATGCTAACTTCTAGCGTCGCAGCCACTCTGGTTTCAACCAAGGCCACAGGCGGGGTTTCAATGGTCCCAATACAGACTTGCTGTTTATAGAGAAGCTTAACAACTCTCTTGTTCTGTCACCTAGAAGTCGATCCACGCATTTTAAAATGCATTGAGTTCATGCCTGGTTAATCGACCATTGCAGACGATGCAGGGTTGGACCAGATCTTTTTGACTATGTTCGTTTAACCGAAGACTTGGCGGCTCGTAATCCCCTATTCCCATTGAACTTATTCACGGATAAATGAAAATTATTTATATGCAAAAGTACGTGAAAGTGTTTTTAGCAGCAACTCTCACTCAGCCTCAAATGTAGGCGTTCTAATCGATGCAGGGTGGTCTAAACGGAGGTAGTAAGCCGCCTTAAAAGAAGAAGCGGATTGAATGATTTTAAGTGCAATATCATTAAAGGATGCGAACAAATACATATTTTAAGATGTAATCGAAAATTATCAGATGAAATGGAATGTGGCTAAGTTTGTTTACCCACGAGTGAAGCGGACACAATCTAAAGACTTCATTAAGCTAAAAACAAAACGCATCTCTTGATACTGATTGGGATCTTAAATGATCATTGTCATAATAAAATGAGCAAGCAAATTAGGTGCAGCTCTCAAATTAAATTTCTCGACTATATTTTTTATGCAGAATACACGAAAAGAGTTAAACTTTTACAAATAATTTACAGTCGAAAATAAAAATAAGGTTCCTGAACAAACACTGTGAGTATCGTGGTCGCAAACTTAAGGACAAAAAGCTCAATTGGATCTCACTGACATTTATATCTGTCAGAGACCGCATGGTAAAACCTGGAGAGTATCACACAAACTAACTTTCAATACGGTCGTAAAAGCTGTAGTTACATATGCGACACTGGCCTGGTGGCCAAAAGCTATGCAAGTCAGTGCGGGTGCTATACCGCATGGTCTGCGTGGCCATTACAGGGGGCACATAGTCCTTGTCTAACGGTTGGCCTTTGGTCACTGAAAAATCTGATTAGAAAGGATCTCCGTAGTCTCCAGACATTCCTGGTGGATCCGCTATCAAGTTCAACTACATCATGTTACCGAAATTATTTTTCGTCAAGCACTATATTCTCAGAATTCCTGAAAGGGACTGCTGTGAAGCGATAGTAAATATCTATGTTTGACAAAGGATATCAAGTTTGGTATGCGGGTTGATCAAAGATGGACGACTGGGACTTGGGGCAGGCGTTCTTGGACCAAGATTCCAGAAAAAATTTGCCAATAGCATTCCAGGAAGCAATATCGAAGTCGTGTGTTCGAAAATGTCCTAGGACAAATGGGGCCAGAATAACTAACATTAAAGGACTTAGACTCGTTTAGAAAAGTTGTGGTTGTGGAAAGTTGTGAAACTCTTTTGAACCGCCTAGAAACCCACACCCTGGACATTAAGGGTTTGAAGCCAATTAAAAAGCTGACTGACGTAGAGCTCAATTGCACTTGTATGGTCCCGAGCTTTCTCCGGGACATCTAAAGGATACCCTGCAGAGCTAATTAGGACGAAGAATCTCAGACCACTGCCCACTGGTAGAAGTCAAAGGGAATTAGACAATCAAATAAATCCATAACTCCTTCCCGGAGTAGCTCCGAAAGACTCCTTAACCTCCAGGACACTGGAAGTTAAGGTACCATTTGAATAAAATGGAGTTTTCTGTAAAGAGGGATTGCAGGTTTTGTGGGTTGGTGGTGGAAAACCCAGAGCATATTATATGTATGTGACTGCCTACATACCGTGAATCGCAGCCTGATATACCTCCAAAATTTAGAAAATTATACCCTCCGATGTGCTTAATATATAATATAAGGTTTTTTTTTAGCATAAAAGACGATAGAGCCTTTTAGGTCGGAGCGCGAGTATATCCGACATAATAATAATGAAAATAATATACACATGTTCATATGTTCAATAATAATTCATAAAATCTGTTTTCTCTTCTCATTGCACATACTACGCTCATTAATACACAGTCGGCTCATTGGTAATCCCCTGAAGGAACTGTCTGGCGAAGTCTTTTTACGAAGTAGTTGTTTAGAGGCGCTGTGAGTATACATATAAGAAAAAAATTATTTATTTCTGTACATAAGATGTTGCAGCAAATTTTTATGAGCGTCAAAATGTCATATACAGTATTGGCCAATACAATATAACCCCCATTTCAAAGTGATATTGTTTCCCACTCATGTTTATTCATTTATTTTTAGGAATTTTCAATTAAAGTATAGGTAATGCTCTAACAAAACCTATATAAACCCAAGTTTTATCTTTGTAAAAGACTACGAAAAAATGCAACAAATTTCCACCTAAATTTCAAGCTTTTTTCTCAAAAGTGTTAGAATTTTTTTGAGTACGCAGTTTTGCAGCCCATTTAATTTTAGTCTAACAATATGCAAGTTTCAAGTGACTAAAAATCACCGGTGATTTTTAAGATTTTTTTTTCACCGAAGGTGTTGCGTTGTGTTTCTTCCATATAAAAATAAATTGTGTTTATTCGTTATATGGAAGCAAACGCGACAAAAAGAAATTCTAAGAAATCAACGGCTATTTTTAGCCACTTGAAACTTGCACATTGACTAAAATTGAATGGGCTATTAAACTGCTTACTCGAAAAAATTCTAAAACTTCTGAGAAAAAAGTTTGAAATTTACAAACTTTAAAACTTGGGTTTATGTGGGTTTTGTTGGAGAATGAACTGTATTTTGATTTAAAATTCCTAAAAATTAATAATTAAACATACATAAGTGACAAACAATATCACTCTGAAAGGGGGGTGCTATAGATATGGCCTAGATAATACTGTATATCCATATTTTTAAGGAAGGACCGAGAAGGTATGATCGAAACAAAATGTCGTTTCCGTAGTTTTGTTCCTAAGACCGCTAAAGACGCAAACTGAAATGAGAATAAACCTTCGGGAATATTTTCACAGGAAGAAAAAAAGAGAACAGAACTGTCGAGAACGTTTTCAAAGAGAATCGCATACATATAAAAGAACAAAATCCTGGGGAACGCTTCCGATGCGAACGATACTTTCGGAAACCTTTCTATGAAAACAAAATGGGACAAAGAACAAAATGGGAACAAAAGTCTAAGGAACTTTCTCTGGAATAAAAATTTGGGAACTAAAGTCTCAGGAACATTCTGACAGCGAACGCAACGGGAACACCTCTTTTCTGAACTATTCGCAAAGAATGGAAGCGCTGCATTAGTTGGAAATGTTTAGATATTAAAATTAATGAAAAAAGAACTGAAAGATAAGTATGCAAATTAAGTCAACGAAAGACTTAAGACACGAACTTTTCTTGCTCAGAAAATACAAAATTATTCCATAAATGAACAGTATACCCTAGTGATAAACGATCTTGAAATTGATATAATCCAGCTTTCTTTTGGCTTAGAATAAACAATCATGGTTCTTACTAAAACGATTTTTTATATTTTCAATTTGGTGGGAAAACGCAATAAAAGATTGATAAAATGAAATGAAATCTCAAAAAGCATAAATTTTGAATTACATCTCTTTATTACTCAATGTGCGATATTAACACGCAGACGCATCTCCCATTCGTAACGTTAAGTTCACAAAACTTTTGTTCTCTAGCAGAACGTTTCCCAGACTTTTCTTCTTATTTGGTCCTCGTTAAAAACGTTCTCGATACTTTCCTTCTCATTGAAAACTTTACCGAAAGTTTAATTCTCATTCTGGTCTTCTTGGGAACCTTCTTGAGAGTTTTGCTCTCATTTGCCCCCCCCCACCCCTTTTTAGAACGTTCCCGAGAGTTTTGTGCATATTTTTTTCGGTACGGAAACATTCCCCAACTTTTTGTTATACCCGCTCAAACTGTTCTCAATAGTTTTATTTCCGTTTGGTTAATTTGCGGGATCGTTCTTGACATTACATTTTGTTCTGATGCAGAACTAAACAAAAACCGGAACGCATTCTCGGACCCTGTTTTTAAAGCTTTACTTACGAATATATTTATTTTCCCAACAATCTTACCTTACCCATTTCAGATCCCTTAGCCACACGCCACTACACATCGGACATCAACTACTACAATCGCTAAATATTTCATATCTAAATTTGACGGGCATACATTTCGAGCGTATCGAATTTGATGCTATCAGTCAGATGTCTAATCTGAAGTACATCGTCTTTGATCGTTTTTACTTCTGCTCGATGACTCCACAAGTTCGCATGTGTAAACCAAATAGTGATGGTGTTTCATCATTTCGCGATCTACTCAGTAAGCCAGTATTACGGTACTCAGCTTGGATAATGGCTTTCGTCACGGTGATTGGAAATATAATGGTACTTTGGGGACGTTTTATTTATCGAGATGAGAATGTTGCTGTAACTATGGTTATACGCAACTTGGCATTGGCAGATATATTGATGGGCTTCTATTTGATTACAATTGGTGTACAGGATTACCGCTATCGCAGCGAGTATTATAAGTGAGTAGAGCAGAAAAGTATGTAGTTTTTTTAACAATAGGTAAGTACGATAGAATTTATGATTAAATTGTATTAAACGAAGAGCACACGATTTGTACAGATTTGTACACTTTGACAGTCACAGAGAGGTGTTGTTTAGAAATTTTAGTTGAGCTCAATAAAATATATGGTTGGAGGCGAGTTGGAGGTAAACAATGTTGGGTATACATACTCTTACTTATATTTTAACTTCCGATGGAGAAGAGGTACTCAATATCACCTACGTAAGCAGACGAGGTAAGGAACTGGTATCCGATCCCATGTAAAATTAGTAGTAGATTTCATAAATCGCAGACGAACATATTGGAAGGTGTTTAGGCTCTGTCCGCGGCACCTGCGGCAACGTAGGACCAGGGTCCTATCCCTGAATCAAGCAACATCTAAAATGGAAAACATTTTTTCTAGCAGCGGTCTCCCTCGGCATTCAACGACAAACCTCCATGCAAAAGCTTACCCTAAATTCCATTTGCCGTTCGGAGCCGGCATTAACTGTAGGTTCCTCCATTCGTGTAACGGCACCAAGGCGTACACCAAATATTGGAAGATACGCTCGGCCAAATACTTAGAAAATGCCTAAGCCCCAAAATTTTATATTATTCACTGACTTTCCTTCAACCAACTAGATTCTACATAGCCTATTACATACAGCCTATTACACATACAAAAGAATATTCAGTAGGAACTGGAGACTAAGGCCAAAGCTTATCATCTGGATGTACGCGGCAATCATGCGACCAATACTAACTTCCAAGCGGAAGTAGTGGGAATCCGGAGGGCCTGTGCATTTTCTCAGACAGCCAGGTGACACTTCTAGCACTTGCCTCACCGGTAACAAAGTCCAAAACAGTCAGAGATTGCAAATGTGCGTTAAGCTCAACAGCCGAGTTAAAAGACATCTCCCTCATGTGGGTTCCCGACCATAGGAACATACACGGAAATGAGAGGGCTGACGAGTTGGCTACGGCCAGAGCATCTCTTATGAATCCGAAGCAGAGACAATAAACTGTACACGGGAACTCATCAAAAGGGAACTGCATTTGCAATTCGTACGTATAGCTGATGCACGTTGGATCAACCCTCAAACCTGCAAAAATACGAATAATATATGGCCGCACTATGACAAACGAAAGACAGCAGAACTTCTAAAGAGGTCGAGGAAAGATAAATTCAAGTTAACAGCCACGATAACAGCACATTGCTTCATTGGCGAACATACGGCTAAATTGGCCTTTCATATAACCCTCGGTGCCGTAACTGTGATCTTGAAGGAAGTAAGAAAACGATCCTACACTATCTTTGCGAGTGGCCAGTACTAGCACGAATAAGGCCAACATCTTAGGGAGATCTCCAAATTCACCATTATTAGACTAAAGTGGATTCATCGAAAAATCCAAATGGTTTGACGAAACCGCATCATGAAAGCAGAAAAGGATCAAGGATCCCAGAGAAAGCGTATCAAAATGGTGCTATAAGCACTAATTAGGTCCTGGGCATGTCCTCAGGTCACTCTTCTACCAACCAACCAAACCTGCAGAAAACCTCTAATTGCTTCTCGTGCGTACAAATGAACATTTTTGGACTAGTTCAAGGCTATTCCAGACCCATTTTGGTACTAGTTCGGTATCATTCGGGGCCTGTTAGGGACAATTTCAAGACCATTTCGATACTTGTTCGGAATCATTTCGGGACCGTTTCGGAGCCTGTTTAGGACAATTTTGTGATTAGTTCAGGACTACATTGGGACTAATAAGGGACCATTTCAGGATCCTTGCAGGACTTGTTCGAGATCATTTCGGGACAAGTTTACGAGTTTTTCGGCCGTTTCGGGACCTTTTTAAGACTGGTTTTGGATCATTTGAGACACGTTCAGGAATATTGCAGTCCTATTTCGGAACTGTTTCAGGACTACTTTAGAAACATTTCTGGACAACCTGAGGGCTATTTCAAGAACATTTCGAGACTAGTGCGGGATCATTTTGGGGCTAGTAATGAACCGTTTCGGACTCCTTTCAAGACCTGTTCGAATTGCTTTCACGACTTTTTCAGAACCACTTCAGGACTACTTTCGGTCAATTACATTACTAGTTCGAGAACATTTCACTTTCATATTCATATTCGTAATCGTACTCATACTTATATTAGTTTCTCTTATACGCATTCAATTTATAATAACTTATAATAACTTATTCATTTATTCACATTCATAGACATATCCATATTCACGTTCATAATCACATTCATATTCACGTTAATAGGATCTACCTGCGGAAGTTAAATAATTGCTATGACTGAAATTTAGAATATTTTCCTTGGTCACAGGTAAGAAAGAACTCAAATGTCAATACACGTAGAAACCAATCTCAATGCAGACCTTTCAACATTTAATTACCATGTAATCGTTCATGTAATGACTAACTATACTCATCTTACCTTTCTCACTTGCTGTTTCTTCTATTTCCACCTTCTTACAGAGTCGCACTCGATTGGATCACATCCTGGCAGTGTGCTGCTATCGGCTCCTTGGCCGTCACCTCATCCGAAGTTTCCATGCTAATACTCGCCTTCATGTCATTCGAACGCTTTCTACTTATCGCCGATCCGTTTCGTGGTCAACACCGCATCGGCATAAAAAATATTTTTATTGCCCTTCTGGTCATTTGGTTAATGGGCGTGGGCATTGCTGTAGCGCCAGTTGCACTCTGGCATTCTAGCACCAAATTCTATGGCACCTACTCGGGCACTTGCTTTCCGCTGCACATCCAAGAGCCCTACCCGCTGGGTTGGCAATATTCAGCTTTCATTTTTTTAGGTGTGAACTTATTTTTACTATTGATGATTGCTCTCCTCTACACGGCATTGCTCATTTCCATTTGGCGTACGCGTAAAGCAACACCACTGTCGCTGTTGGATTGTGAGTTTGCAGTACGTTTCTTCTTCATTGTCCTGACAGATGTGCTGTGTTGGGCGCCCATTATAGCGGTGAAGATTTGGGTTTTCTTCAACTATAACATTTCGGGTGAGTAAAAGCGTAAAGTTTATTACACAAACATAAACTCATGTACGTACCTATGTGCATTAGGCCGAACCATAAAAAAGGTTCGCCGTATAACTTTGAGTCTAAAGTATTTTTCCAAGGCAGATTCGTAAAAAAAAAATAATAATCTGCATTATCCTGAGTTTCACCCGAAAAAAAATTCGCTCGAAAATTTGTCATCCGCCCATAGTAAAACCATGGAAACCAAAAGTGAAAAGTGAACCGGTTCGGGGAAAATGAAACTCATGATAAGGCTGAATTTCTTTTTATACCGCCATGCCTTCGGCACTTACAGTAGGATCCATAAATATGATATATCGATGTTCTTGTCTCTAGAAAACTATTTTTTGTAACCTGTTCTAGTTTTTACCCATCAGATCTCACTTCCTAACACCCTAACGTACCACCCTAATGCCGACTAAAATCATTAATTTTTTTTCAAATCTACCTTGCAAAAATACGTTAGACTCCGAAGTGTACTGCGAACTTTTTTGTTTGCTTGTACATAAGGTGGTACGGTCTAATGTACATTCTATATAAGTTACTCATACGCCGAGTCGTACTTGCAATAACTGTATTTACATACATATACATGTATGTACGTACATATTTATAGTATGGACATGTAACTTAAGTGTGTGTACGTCTTTTGTTGTTTTTACGAGCAGACGATATCTACGCTTGGCTGGTTGTCTTCATATTGCCACTGAATTCCGCTGTCAATCCGCTGCTCTACACATTCACAACACCAAAATATCGTAATCAAATACTGTTACGCGGTTGGAAGAAAATTACATCGCGGCGTCGTGCTGAACCCTCCAACGGTCTAGCGACGACGATTGCAACCGCTACAGCATCCTCAAATCCGGGTGAGTTTTAGTTCAAATTGTTGGGAGGTCATTTCAATAAAATTAACAATTTGTTTTCCTCCTTTTAGATGAATCTTCGGGCAAAGCTATACCGCTAACAGTAAATCACTGAGGGCACCGAACATACCTACATACATACATACTCACATATTTATATACTTAAACGCATCGATATGTATTTTCACACCACCAAGTGGTTGAGCGTGTAGTTCTACGACAAAATATTTACTATTTAATATGTATGTTTAAGTGTGTGTACATTTTTTAGATGTATCTATTAGCTTTAAGTGCAACAATATGTATTTACAAACATACATACCTACATACAATGTCTGCTACCTCAAAATGTCGAGTACAAAAACAATTGCCGTAGCAGTTTATCAAAATACCAAAGAATAGAAATTGAGAAGCATTTATGATGCATTTACCTAAATAAATACATATAAAATAAACATATGTACATACATGCATGCATAAAAAAGTGTATTCCAGGCGGCTATTGGTATGTACTAGAGGGCTGCATGAATTCATTCAAACTTCTAGACAAACAGAGTACAGTAGATTTGAATATTTTACTTCACATACAAAACACTCAGCGTTTGGAATTTTGTAAGTTATGAATATACATTTTGTTTTATATTTTCTACCTTCAAATGGAAGAATGTGAATGAATGAATGGAAAACATTCAAATCATTCAAACTCAGTTCGGTAAAAGTTTCTTTCTACAAACAAGTTTTTTCTTACGTAATAGGAGCGCAGCAATACATACATACATACATTGTATGTTTGTACATATGTGCATAGAAAAAATATTTTTGGATATTCATACACAAAATTGTCATTTATTTCAATTCAATTTATTTTCACTTTGTTTGAATATTGTGATGTCGACACAAATATCAGAACAGCTATTCACTCAAATTCAAAAAAAATTTGAAGCCAAAATCAGTAATTCGTTTTGTATATGAATAATTCAAAAGCCGTTTTGAATGCATTCATGCAGCCCTCTAGTATGTACATATAGTTATGTGCGTGTATGCATAGATCTAGTATTATATTTAAATGCTTAAACAATTTTGTTTATGGTTTCTTTTACGAACTTTTTTTCGGTGATACATACCTATATACATAAGTACGAGTACGTATGGTATGTAGTATGACGTAAATAATGTAGAATTTTAATACTTAGTATGTTTGTATATAAATATTGCATGATGTTTTTGAGAGTTCGTATTTATCGTAACTGTAAGCGATAATGCGCGCTTAAGTGATTTAAAATGTACGTAATGTATGTGCGTGTGTGGGTGTATTTATGGTAAAAAAATAAGATTATTGTTTCAATAAAATGTAGTAAAACTCACACATAATGGAGAGTATCTTTATTCTTTAGATTTTGTGAGTAGAATATGGTATGTATGTATATAGAAATTTAACATATACACAATCGTCGATAGGATACCAGTCCCGGTATTGGAACTATTGCACAGTGCTCCCCGCCATAGGCCAAACATAATTTTTACTACCTATTATAATAAGTAGAATGTTTATGTAGTCTATATTCGTGTATACATACATACGTTTTTATTAGCTGATAAATTTTTGATAGAAACGTAAAATTGTTTCTTTATATTTTTTGGTTGTACTAGAATCAGCAAAGTTTTACTTTCCTTGCCACTCTTAGCCAATGATGAAATTCTTCGCATGAAATTCGTTAGATTTTTTCCTATAGAAGCTAATATCTTGTAGAAGCCACAAATGGGCAGATAAGTGAGGAGACCTATAAAAAATACTTTATATTAAAAGATGGTTAAATAATTAAATCATTGGGTATTATTATTGAGAGTCTCCTGAAGAGAAGCAGTTTTGTGATCGAAAAATAACGATTTTAAGAATTCTATACCATCTCTAGGAAAGTGTTTTTCCCCATATACATATGGGTCATTTCATCGTCACGAGTGGTACATTTTTACAGTAAAAATGCACTTTCTGTTTCTAAATTTAGGTATGAGGTACTCAACAATTCTTCATTTTGATAAAGCTGCGCCTAATTCACTATTATCTGAGTTATTACCAAATATGAAAAAAATTCCAACTTACTTTTATATGGGAAAAATCTGAGGTAAGTGCATTTCAGATGGAAGAAAATGCCTAGCACCGGCATCCAAAAAAAATTATTAAAAATCAACGCGAACTCCTAACGTCTTGAAATTTTCACTTTTAAATTTAATGGTCTATAAAACTGCATACCTACAGTTTTTTTTTAAATTCTGAATAAAAAGTTTAAAATTTGTGGGTGTAATTATTAAAGATTATTTAATTCTTATAATTTTTTGTACAAGTACAAGTAATTTTTAGCAAAAAAAAATCCGACTTAAATATATATATATATATATATTTCATGATCCAATTTTCGGATTCAAACCAGATTAGTATGGGACCACCTCTGAGACACTACATTTCCGATGCAAAAAGAATTATCGAAATCGGATGACGTGGTCCAAAGTTATGCGGTAACATACATAAAAAAATAGATATATTCCGACGAACTGAAAACCTCCTTTTCTGGAAGTCGGTTAAAAATAAACAAAAGAAAAAACCGAATCTGGTCAAAATGTCACTCATCGCTTCTTTGTGTACGACCATATACAGTTATAAAAATTGAATTTCTAACACTTATAATCAGATTTTAAGAAAAATTCCAAACATGATTTTGTATAGCCCATTAAATTTTAGTATAACAAAGTGCAAGTTTGAAGTTGCTAGAAAATCGCGTTGATTTTTGGCAATTTTTTTCGCGCAGGTTCTTTCATACAAAGTATGTTCGACAATTATTTTTTGTGTAGAGGAAATGAGCACCTTCCACTTAGCCTATACATTCTTATTAATTTATTTAAAGTGAAAACATGTTGTTGGTCATATATTTCTTTCTTTATATGTATGTACATGCATCATTATGTACAATCAAATCTATTATTCATATTCAACTGATTTTAAGATACATATTTTGGCTCATGCCATCTACATATCGTCGTTTAAAGTACAAAACCGCGTATCAGCAAAATGCAAAACCGCGTATCAAGATAAAGCAAAACCGCGTATGTGAGGTTGCATAAATTATTTTATAGAGAGTAAAAACACTCGTATTTCAAAATGGTCCTCTTTTTTATTAAGCAATCGCACTTCTGGCTAGAATATTTCAGGGCGAATGGATAAAGATTGAGTCAAGAGCTTGAGTGAACAAATCCAATTTTTGGCAGCCAATGTCAGTTACGCGGCATGGCAGAATGACGATACGCGGATATGTACATCAACAAAGAAGTATTTCAAATACTTTTTACTTAATTATACCTTTGTACTTCTAATAATTCATTTCAGACTTTTTGTGTTATATATTAATGAATGTATACGTTTATATACAAAAAAATGCAGCGTTAGTTAATCTTGAGCACCATATACTCGTACTACAATCCTTCGAATGCTTTTCATCCCCTTGGCGTCTAAGTCAAAACGAACAAATATAATCAGTCGTTACATATCCACCTCAACTTCCCCAACATCCTCAAAATATACACCACTTTCGGGGTCGTCGACATCTAAGTCATCCGCCTTAACTTGTGACATAACATCTGAGGTGCTTGCCACCTTTACGACTGCATGACGAATGCGAGTATGAGTATTTTTCAGTTTACGCATCGATTCCAATTCCTCAACGGGCATATCAATTTCATGCTTCAGTTTCAAGTGAACTTTGAGCCTGAAAAGGAAAGAGAATATCAAAATAAACAAAATCACATAAAAAAAAGGCGTGAGTACCAGGTACACATAAAAATTGATGTGTAAATATCTGCGTACGGCTTGGAAAAGCGTTAGACGATTCAGCTACATACATATGTCTGTATGTTCACAAATAGTTTAGCTTAGAAATTAAAAAATAATTTCATTTCACTTTATTCAATTTGTCGGGACCAGTACACGATTTTTTCAAAAACACTTCGATAATATTTCAGGATCATTTCACGCCTAGTTTCGAACTACCCTGAAATGATCCCGAAATGGTCCCTTACTAGTCCCAAAATAATCCCAAACTAGTCCCGAACTAGGCTGGAACTAGTTCCGAAATAGTCCTGAACTAGCGTCAAATGGTCCAGAACTAGTTCCAAGTGCTCGTCAAATAGTTGTGCACTATTCAAGAAATGTTCATGAACAGGACCCGAAACGGTCTCGAAATGATCACGAACTAGCTCTGAACTGATTCCGACAAATCCTGAAATTTTTCTGAAATAGTCACAAAAGGTCCTGAACTGCCCCCAAAATGGTCGAAAATTTGTGAACTTGTCCCGAAATGATCTCGATCAAGTTTTGAAATGGTTCGGAAATGGTCCATTAATAGTCCCAAAATTATCCCGAAATGGTCTTTAAATAGTGATGAACCAGTCCCGAAATGATCCCAAACTATCGACGTGAAATCGTCCTAAACTCCATGCAAAGTGCTCCTGAAATAGCCCTGATGTTTATTTGTGAACACAAGAAAAAATTACCGATTTTATGCTGGGTTACAAAAGACGCAGTTACAAATTTCCTCCTAGGTTAACGCATACGATATTTGCACGCAAAAAAAAAAAAAACGTAGTTACTTACCTCGACTTCTGCGGATAGCCCCTATCGCAGTAGGCGCACCGGAAAGGCATACCCGTATGTGAAAAGCTATGGTTACGCAGCGAAATCGTATTTTTGAATACTTTGCCACAACCCGTTTCCGGGCAAATGTATCTCAAATTATTATGTTTAACATGCATGTGCGTCGTCAGATGTCCTTTTTGTCCAAATCTGCGATGGCAATGCTGACATTCGTAGGGAAATTCACGCGTATGATAACGCATATGCACCTCCAGCGTTTGTGGTACCGAGAACGCTTTGTTACACAGCTGACACTTGAACGGTAGGAAGTCATCGCGCGAGCAATGTGTCTGTTTGTAGTGTAGCTCACACGACTGACGTGATAAATAAGAACGATCGCAGCCCTCAAAGGTACAATTGAAGCGCGGTCGATCCGGCTCGTGCATGCGTCGGTGGGAAAGCATTTTGCTACGGCTGGTAAACGATTTCTGGCAAAAATCGCAGGCGATGCGGCCAGCACGATGTGGATGAATTATTTTTATTGGTAGATCAGGCGTACAGGCGCGCGATGAGGGTGGGCTGTTTTGTTCTTCAATTTGACTTTGTGTATATTCGCTCAACTCATTGTCCTTTTTGCTCTCACCAGTAGTATAATCGCTGAGCGGTGTTGCATCTGAGTGAATAGACAGTCCTTCTGATTTGGAAGTTGAACCGGCCAGAGAGTTACTATTTGTATTATCGTTGCTGTAAAGGACAGAGTGGGGTAGTATGCTTTCAGCAGACACCGAATCGAGCTCTTCAACTAAAAGGTACTCCATTTGTACTGAAAATTTAATAGAAGTAAAACTTCACTCAAAAACAACATAAAACCCGTTTATTGTATTTTGTCTTTTTGAATTTCAAACTAAATTATTTAAAAAATCGAATAAAAGGATAAAAATCTGTTATAAATGAAAACTAACTAAACTACTACACCCTTGCAGCCGAGACCCCAAAGATCATTAGTTTTAAATAAAATAAAGTAAAATAAAGCATAAAATAAAATAAAATAAATGAAAAAAATAAATAAATAAAATAAAGTAAAATAAAAAATACAGTGGCTAAAAGTTTAAAGTATGTTTTTTATTTGAAAAGATGCGTTTCCCAAAACAAATACATTTTTTCTTTCTAAATGGCATTGAAAGTTCTTCGTTACACCTGTTGCAACACCACCCCTTAAGCTACACAAATGAGTTTGTATGTAAGCGAAAAATGATACATTATTAATAATAAACAAACTTTTACAAGTACTAAGTAAAATATATTTAAAATATTAAAAAAAGTGATTTTTAAGAAAAAAACAAAAACGACTTGAATTCTCACAAAAAACTTTAAGATAGTCGGTAATTTCTTCATGATCCAATGATCGGATTTAAACCAAATTAGTATGGGACTACCTGTGAGGTAACACCTTTCCTTACAAAAAGGAAGTCTAAAAATCGGCTAAGGTGGTCCAAAGTTATGCAGCAACATACATACAAAAAAAAAAAACAAAAAAATATTCCGGTGAATTGATAACCTTCTCCTTTTAGTGAAGTCGGTTAAAAATTAAACAAATAAAGCTAAAACTTAGACCCGCACGTCAGTCGGGTGTAAGCTATCAGAGCGACCCAAAATAGTTTCTGGCTAAGTAACCTCAGCAGTTTTTATGCCGGCAGAGCAAAAACTAAACTTAGGCAAATCTATATAATTAAAATTAATATGTAATATTATTCTACACACAGTTATGTGTCATCTAGCGCATTTATTTTAAATGTAGACTCAGGACAAATTGAAAAAATCCAAATAAATATGAAATATTTTTCTCTTTATCGAAAATTGCGCTACTTATGATAAAATGTTTCATATCCGTAACTGGAGTATATTTATATAGCAGCATCAGTAGTCTGCAAGCTCATCAGCATTAATCTCTTCAATCTGTGCACTGGAGTCAGGTTCTAATGCAGGCTGCAACTGTGCTTTCAGCTCAATCTCTTTGGCAACCAACATACAATCCAGCTCTTCGAGAGTATGATCAATGGCATGTACTCTGCTTATATGCCAACGCAATCTAAAAATATACATTTGTATTTAAGAAGCAAAAATTTTAATTAGAGCTTCTCTCTCACTCACCTGCCCTTGGTTGGGAAATCATGCTGGCAGTAGTCACAGCGATAGGGCAATTGCTTGACATGCGTATATGTGTGATTCTTAAGCGCATGCGATGTTTGAAACATTTTCCCACAACCTGATTGTTCGCAAATGAAGCGCTGTCCCTCGTGTTTCGTTTTTACATGGTTGGTGAGATGCGTCGCCAACATAAATGACTTGGCGCATATGTGACAAACAAATGGATAGATTTTCTTATGGAAGCGCAAATGTATCTGATAGTTCGCTCGACCAATACAGGTTTTCTCGCAAAATTCACACTTGAAGATGGGATAAGTTTGGCAGGTTATACGCTGCTGATGGCGTTCCAGTTGTTGCTTCGTTGAAAATTCTTTACTACATTCATCACATTTATGAGATGGCTTATTGAAGCGATGTTTACGATGTCGATGTGATGCCAAGCGCTGTCGCGATGGACTCATATGGTCACAATATTCACACTGATATGGCGGTCCACCAGGGATAAGTGGATGACGTCCACGCTTTCGCGGCATCGTATCGAATTGATCTTCGACTTTCGGAATTAGATCTTGATTTTCAAAGAGGTATTCCTTTAAATTAATATCATCCTCATCCGATGGCGGTGCTAGATTTACAAGTATTGTTGGTTTTATCGGCGATTCGTTGGCGTGCATTTTTATAGGTAAAATTACAGGCTCTTCTTTTTCAATCTTGAATGCGGCGATATGCTGATCCTTTTCGATGTCTAGAATTTGTGTTACAAAATGTGGGTGTAAGTAACGCGTTAGTAAGTTGAATACAAAATTAGGACACTTAAAAGAAAAACTCAGACCGTACAAAGAACTCAGAAACCGTTAAATGGATGGCAACGATGCTAACTTTTTACCAGATGAACAAGTAACTCATAATTAGGGAGTTCACGAGGTGTCGCAACTGCCAAATGGTGTAAATTTTAAAATAAATGGTTTAAAATATTTTGGGGGTTTTGGTGTACCGTTTAAAGTGTTTTTAAACTTTATAAAATTTATGACATTAATATAATAAGATTCGTTACGATATATTGCGCATTACTCAAATTAGGGAGGAAGGGAGAAAACAGAAAATAATTCAAATTCAAATAAATTTTAAAACAAAAGCAAAAAAGATTGGTTTTCTTAGCAATACATTTTTATTAATTGAAAATTAGCTAATGAATGCATACGGAATACTCGACATCGATGTCTTAACAGATATTATTTGTAGGTGTTCTTAAACATATATGTCCGTAGTTTTGATATTTCTCGCCATTATAATTAAAAGTCCTTAAGTTTACGATGGTACATAAGCCACTGGCCAATGGACCCGTTACGCTTACACTCCGTAGAGGCCCTTCAAGCCTGGGCCTGGGTTCAAGCTCGGTTCAACCCAACATCAAAAAATAAAAAATAAAACAAATCAGAAAAAAAATAAAAACAGAATAAAATTAAAAAAAATAAAATAAAAAAATAAATAAAAAACAGAATAAAGAAAATAAAAAATAAAAACATAATATTAAAAAAATAAAAACAGAATAAAATAAAAAATATGTATAGCACCAATCTATTATTATTATTATTAATGTAATGCAAACATATACCGAAAGGTAAAGATAAGGACTTGAATACTTATTAGTAATTGATGGGCTTTACTTCCCACCGCGTTAGTTTTATTAAATATAATGAAAATATATGTTCAATATTACTTAATTTACTTAACACTTTTTCAAACAAAAAAAATATATACATATTTTTATTTTCTAGTATTTTAATAGCTTTCTAATTAATCCATTCACACTTAAGATTTCAACTAGTATTCATAAAAAAAACTCCACTTACTACAAATAGTTATGTATAAAACTAGTATAAACTAAAGTTTAATTCATTTATAGCTTTAAGTTGTAGATCTATTCAGTAATTTTAACTAAATTTAATCTGGAACGCATCACATGAAATTTACGCATATCTTCCAATTGTTCGAGCGTCACTTCGATGCCATGCTTCTGTCGTATGTGCACTTTTAATCTACAACAAATAAACACATCAGTATATAAGATTCTTCTACTACGTAATAATCAGGAAAAATATTTATGTAGATAAGTACATATATAACTCACTTAGACTTTGCCGGATAGCCACGTTTACAATGTGCACATTCGAATGGCATTGAAGTGTGCGAAAATTCGTGATTGCGTAGCGATGATGATGACGTGAAAAATTTACCACAACCAGGATGTTCACATGAGTAGCGTACACTGTTGTGCTTTACATTCTTGTGTGTATTCAAGTGGCACATTTGTGCAAACTTTTGACCACATATATCGCACACGTATGGAAAATCGCCCGTATGAAAGCGCATATGCACTTCAAGTAATTTTCCAATAACGTAAATTTTACCACAAATCGGACACTTGTGTCCGATTCTGTTGTGGAACGTACGCACATGTACAAGTTTAGCCTGTTTGGTTGCATATAAACGACCACATTCTTCGCATTCGAATTTCGGCCGATCCGGTTCGTGAGAGCGACGATGTGTTAGCATACGTGATCGATTCTTGAAAACTTTCTGACAATAATCACAGGTAAATTTGCCACTGTAACGACGTCGCTCCCTAATTTCTCCTTTTTTCGAAATCACTAAAGACTTGACATCGATTTCGACATTTGATTCAGTATTCTGTTTGTTCGTTGGTGATTCCTTTTCTATTACATGTTCCTCATTTTGTTTATCATTAACTAATTCTATATCGCTTTCAGTACTTTCATAGTCAAAAGTAATGTTATCACTCTGAAATTCCGAATTACTTTCTTCGCTCGTTGACTTACTTTCTGAGGGTTTTATACTGGACACATCTGGACTTTTGTTTGAAGCTGCATCGATTAACCCATCAGTAAAATTCTTTTCATTTAATTTGACCTTTTGTAGTAGGTACTCTTGGTCATCAATTTGAATTTGTACTGTTTCCGCATCTGTTTATTCAATGAGTTATATAAGAAACAAAAACAACAACAAAATTAATAATGCAACACCAAACTTAGTTAACTTTAAAATTTTAACTTTCACGAATTTAAATTTTAAATTAACATCATTCAATAAACAATTGAGGAAACATTACAAGTATTTTCGTATTAAAATTTTAAAGTTATGTATTATCCATTCTTGAATTTAGTTACATTTGATGTAGTAGAACATGCGTGCCAAAAAATATCTACCAACCAAGATAGACAGTGGTGGTCTACATCACAGTATATCCTACTAAGTCGAATAGTCCCGCATACGCTTGCAGAACGACTTGCAATTTAAGGAGCATTTCCCAAAATCTTTGGAACCGTTATAACCTGTTTATAGAAGACAATCCCAATCACACAGCCCTAAACTTCTCTATTGTGCCAGTTTTCTTGTTAATACAACAATTTCTATAAGTAAATAAGCATTTCGTTGAGCTGCAAACGTCTTTTACGAACTACGAGGCTTCCATTAATGCCAACATGCGAATACGCACGAATTAACATAAAACTTACATATATCTCGTGAAATTTAAATCCACTAGCTACTAAATTCGGTAAAGTCAATACTATTTTTGGAAACTACGCTACTAAACTTCTAAATAGTACACGTATGTATGTAATTACCTTCATCGACCAGCTCGTCGACCGATTGATAATCTTCCATTTCCATATGTTCTTCCAACGCTTCATATTCTATAGGCGTCGCCAAGTGGCCAGCAATAATCTCTTGACTATTAGCTATTTCGTTTTCATTTGCAGCATCGTTAACATGTAGCGCTAGTATGAGTTGTGGATCATTTGTTTTGTCTTCAGCCTGCTCGACCACGTCTTCGGTCACTGTTTGTATGTTACTTTCAATTTGCGTAGGCGTCGTAACGTTACTATTTTCATAGCTTTCTTTTGCAATTGGCGGAGACGTCGAAAGGAATTCTTCATCTAGTTGTTCCGTTTTATTCAACTGCATTAAGAACTTCTTAGACTCCTCCACTTTTTTGTGAAAATCATATGCCACCTGCAACTCCAAGCCACATGACTTGCACAGCTGATGTGGCGCGTTAACACCACCAGCGTGCAAATCTATTTGCGTACAAACGGTGAAGCAATCATAGTAGCTAAGATTCTCTTCTTCATCGTAGATAAGTTGTAGATCAAGTAATTGAGACTCCTCTGGCACTTGCAGACACAGCCTACAGTAGTCAGATAAATCAACATATTCCGTTGAGCTTTCCTGCAAGGCGGTTTCGCTTTTCGTGGACTGCATCATAATTGAAGGCAATTAATGCCTTTTCCGCGATTGTTTGCCTGGTTTTATTGAAATAATCCTCAACTTTTTCCTGCAAGAAATCAATTCACAACGCTTTTAGTCTGTTCCACTACTCAGAGAAGGCGAATTTATACAAGGCGGTGTTGATGGCGAATTTAGATTTTCGCCGCGGTAGTTATTAATGTCAAAATGACGTCTTTGTTGTAAACAAGGCGAATTCATATTACAACAAACGCATCTTTTTGACATTAACTTATGCCTGGGTTATAATGGAAGTAGCGGAACGGAGTGAACTTTCACTTAATTATCCATTGTATGGGAAATGAATGCAAATGGTTATAATGCACGTAAACGTAACGTAAAACAGAACAATCTAAAATCAATAGATCCAAGGCGAATTTATACAAGGTGGTATTGATGGCGAATTAAATTTTCGCCGCGGTACTACTGAATGTCAAAATGATGTGTTTGTTGTAAACAAGGCGAATTCATTTTACAACAAACACATCATTTTGACATTAAGACGTACCTCGGCGAAAATCTAAACTCGCCATCAACACCATGTCACGATTGAGAGAATACTAAGGTTGCGCCGATCTCGGACCGCTATTCCTCTCTTAACGAATTTGACAGAATCGTTGTTTGCATGACGTCACACTGGTGCAACTTGTTTACGTTTTCTTTGCAACATTTTTTCTTCTTCTTCCATTCTTGCTCACGTTTTGGCATTTCTCTCTCGCAATTGCACCAGTGTGACGTCACACAAAAGTTATTCTCAAAAATCCTCTCTGATCGGCGCAATCTTGTATTCTATCATTCTTGACACCATGTTGTATAAATTCGCCTTGAATAGATCCTTATGAATTCGCCGCGATTTGTTACGATACGCACGGTGCGTATCGTTCCATTATAACCAAGGCATTAGGGTTAACACCGGACAATATTGCCAAGACAATAATGGCTGAATTTCTTTATTCATTCTGAACGTTTGGAATAAACTTTTTTGTTTACTTATTCTGTTATTTNGCAATCTTGTATTCTATCATTCTTGACACCATGTTGTATAAATTCGCCTTGAATAGATCCTTATGAATTCGCCGCGATTTGTTACGATACGCACGGTGCGTATCGTTCCATTATAACCAAGGCATTAGGGTTAACACCGGACAATATTGCCAAGACAATAATGGCTGAATTTCTTTATTCATTCTGAACGTTTGGAATAAACTTTTTTGTTTACTTATTCTGTTATTTACGTATTCTGTTTATTCAGGCTGTGAAATGGGATTATCCGGAATGTATAAAGAAACGCAGCCATTGTCAAAATGATGTGTTTGTTGTAAAATGAATTAGCCGTGTTTACAACAAACACATCGTTTTGACATTGACGAAAGCCAATTTCGGGTGACGCAAAAAAACAAATTCGACGGCATGCGTACCAAAACGCAAGCCGCGAATATTAGGTTAGCCTGTCACAGATTTGCCGCTGGGGAGAGCTGAGAGAGATGTGTCAGTATGTATATGTATATTACGCAGGCAATAGACACAATGTACTACGACGTCACACCTTTGTCAAAAATTTCAAGGGAGTGTTAGCGGTATCACAATCAGCGCCACCTTCTGTATTCGTTTCACCACGCCCATAGACAACTGAAATGGATTAAAGCAAAGGGATGTTTCGCTCGGTTTGTCAAGCCGCTTCTGTTGTGTATTTCGCTCTTTACTCCCATTATAACATGAGAGTACAGCCTGCAGTACTGGAACAGACTATGTACGTGCTCGTTCAGTGACAGCTGTCCGAGCATTTAGCGTGCTTTTATTGGCGATGCCATATCAAAGGTGTTTTTGCACAAATGCAACCTTGTTTTGTATTGCACCAACTGTCATTTATGTAAACAAATAAAATTGGGGTGCATTTCACTTGCATGAGAATTGCATTTACAACTCAGTACATACTGAGATTTACAATTTGTGTTAAAAATTACAAGGAAATAATGACTGAAAACGTAACAGCCTTGCAAAACTTTATGTCCTCCACGTTAGCAGCAACGACGAGCGATCTTCTAGAGCAAAATACAAATTCAACTTTACCTACTTTACTGCCTACGACACTTGCATCAGCTACAACAAGCAAAACAACAGATGCAGCGGATACGGATATTGAGCCAGACGATAGTGGGCACTTCATTTTAATTCCACTCACTGTTCTTTTGCTTATTGTGGCTTTATCAGCGCTAGTGAGTATTTAACTAAATCAATGCTTCTGTCCATCTTTGCAGTGCATGTATGTATGTATGCTTATCGATTTTTACACTATTTTCATGGCAACGTACAGGTATTCTTGATAGGGCGGAATAGACGCCGCCTAGCTCGTATCTATTGCCGACGAAGAAGTGAGCGCAAGTATTCACTTGAAGACGATTCCGATACGCCAATGGAGCAGGGTGACGATTATGATTTCGACGATCCGAGCGAATGTCTGCTGAAGGGGAAACTACAAATCGATAATGTGAGTGCAGTCATTTAAAATTTAATGATATATTCTCTGCGTTTTGTAATATTTTGTAATATTACATTTTTTCTTATATTACCCAGAGTTACGCAAGTACACTTCGCAAGGAACTATACACTTAAGCAAGCATACCAAACTTTGACGAAAATAGCGGTTATTAGAGCTATTAAACTATCAAATCATAAAATTTACCTGCTATAATTGTTGCACCTGATGTTTCGTAATAGCACATGATACTCAAATACATAGATAATTCTCGCGCTATGCTCATAAATTAAGACAAAGATCGTTATGGAAACTAAGCTAGATTCTAAATATATTTTTGCTTCGATCCAAAGTCTATGAAAATAGAAAATACATTATAAATAAGCATTAAATTGATTCTTACAACTAATCAATTATTTTTAATTTGAGTATATCTGTTTCTACACACATCGATGGTCCTGTGCAATAACCATTCAAAATTCAAAAAATAAAAACTGTTACTACTGTTAAGTGGCTCTTGTCTCTACTCCATTTCCATTCTTTACTAAGGAAGCAGTAAGGATTGCTAAAGTAAGTTCAAATATTAGACATGGATTCAATACGGATTAGACATGAGCTACTAAACAGTAGTAACGGTTTTTAATTTTTGAATTGTGTCGTTATTGCACAGGACCATGGACATAAAGATATGTATGTATGTACGTACATATTACATATGAACGTTTGTTAAGGGCATGCCTATAGACTTAAAATTAAAGAACTTTGCGATTTCATATCAATTATTGCTTTGCTATATATTTGGATTATCCGCTGCTACAGTGCCACGCAAAAGTCTTAATGTTAAATCATAAAACCCAAAGAAAAATGCACCTCCTAGAGTGATCCAGAGGACACGTGGTGCAAAACCGGCAAAAAGACTATAGAAAGAAATAAATTGTTTGAATAAAGGATTATATCATGTACAGACATATGTGTATCTACATACTATATATTAACCCTCCACTCACCCCGCAAAACCACGTTCCCTGTACACGGCCGCTAACACAGTGCGTGGATTCAACTTTCTTGTTGCCGTGCCCTGTTCAGCAAGCATAATACGCGTCTTTGCTACATCTAGTGGTGTAGTGAGACCTGCGGCAATACCACCAGCCATTGCACCACATAATGCAACCGTAAAAGGAGTCGAATCCATGCCAGTTGTAGCAGTCCAATGTAGCTTAAAATATTCCCACATGGGAAATTGTATTAAGCTGAATGGTATTTCACGCATCACCGTAGTACTAAATCCACGATAAAGACCACGGCGCAACCCTTCTAGTTTGTAAGCACGCCAAAGTATTTGTAGTGCTGTAGTTTTCTGTGTATTGCCAAGTGTTTGACGTCGTTGTTTCGCAATTTCGACGGGTACACGGATCAGGCATGCTAGCTGGAATGCAGTTGTTTTATATTTATCAAAGCATCTGCGCATACATATATGTATATGTAATAGGTATTTCATAACCTCCGACTTACAACTTCAGCACAAGATGCCGAAACCATGTGTACGTAAGGTGAATTGATCACACCGGTAGTAGTGCTGAAATAACGCTTGAAACCTTCATAGCAACAGAAAAATATCGCAGCAGTTGGTGCGCTACCAGCAGCAGCGGGTGCTAAACCTTTATAAACGCCACGAAAGCCGCCAGCACGCATGAAACCCAATTCACTTTGCAGCCTCGTTTTAACAGTATCGATGGGGAAAAGCGCAATATCAACAACCACACCAGCTACACCCCCTGCCTGTGAAAGGAAGAGTTCTTGATTTCGTTTGGATTATGCTATATTTTCTTTAATTTGTGTGCTTACCACTAATGAGTGCAAAAATGAATACTGCGGATGTATTTGGTCCACTTCTTTGCTGCCGTCTATTTCCATTTTCTTACACTTAACTGCTAGCCAGTTGCAAATAATTTTATTTTAAATGTTATCCAGCAACTCCATCTTCCACTTAACAACTACCTTTTTTTATTGAATGAAAACCAATCGGAGTTAGGGTTGCCAAACCTTCCTCATTCGGAGCGGGGAGTGGCGGTTGAGGCCTTTTTCCATTTTTACTTTGGTATGGGAAAAAGCAATCAGCAAACAAGTATCAAAGATGTATGCGGTTTTTGGCCGCGTAAAACTTTAGCCATGTAACTGCATATCCAAGAATTCAGAATAAATACTCCACACTTTTTATGGAAATTTGTTGCATTTTTCTAAACATTTTATTAAGTGTGAAAGTTTTAATTAGTTTTATGGTTTTGGCTAAAGCATGAAAAACATTTTTATAAAATAAAAAAAAAATGTACTTGAAAAACATTGTAAATATTTAAATAAAAAATTTGATGAAGTGATATTAAATTTTTATTTTCGAACGGTTTTGCTGTTCCCTAAGCGAATAAATCAATTTTTTGTTTTTAGTACGCTTTCTACTACGGTTTTCTAAAGTTTTTTTTTGTGAAAAAAGGGCACAAGGCAACTCAGGTTTGCAACAGAAATATATGCCCGTTCCATTATTTCTTGAGGAAGGAGTGAGGTAACAGGCTGTGAAGTATCAAAAACTTAAAAATTCCTTGGACACACACACGAAATAATTGCAATCTTTTCTTGACCGTTTTCTTGAGAGCTGCATACAGGCCATTAGTTGTATCCCAAGTCCCTCAATTTGTTCTTATATGTACCCCTTTCGTGATTGTAGGTCTGGCAACATTGATCGTAGTTCAACGGCTGTCTTGAAGTTGGTCGCACTCGTTTTTTTCCGGCCGTCTGTTGCTGGCTATAATCAGCTGTTTCCTTATCAGTACAGGATGCGCCGAATGAATCAAATTTCTTTACCCTTACACAACGTTGCAATTTCGCAGGTTGCACGTGATAATTTTTTTGACGATGAGTTATTCGAAAAAATTTATAACGCATTTTCAACCATTTTTCTGCAGTCTGTTTTAATTTTTTTTGAGTACGTAAATTCATTAGGGAAGCTGAAATAAGTATCAAAATTAAATAAAAATAAATAAACAACTCACCAAGAAATAGCACGTATGAGTTGTCAAAAATCAACCAAATCAAAGAACACCAAAAATATAGCACAATAAAATGGTATGATTTCACCATAACCAAAAACACAATTCTCTGCACATAAAAACTCAATTTCAAAAGCTATAGACATCTGAGAAATTGAACGAAAAATTGCCTACCGCCTTGAAAGAACAATTGCTTTCAACCAGAAGGGCAATTTGCAAGTGTAAGCACATTGGTAGAACAGTGAGTGAATGCTAATTGAAAGCATTATTTTGAATATGTGAACCTCAAGCATTAAGTAAAAATATCGTAATTACAAGTTATCGAGTAAGTATATTATAGGTGTTTTTAATTAATCCCAAAACTTGCTACTTTACATTCGGGTATAGCAGTTTGCCTTGGGTTGTTTTTTAATATTCATGGCAAAAAAAAATATGTTTCGTGTTTGCTTTTTGAGTTATGTATCAAGACGCCAGGGGAATAAATCTTCATTTTGAAATCCAACGCAGTTTACTCTATCGACCTACTTACAAGGACCTTTATAATGATTTAAGAACACAAACTATTATCGTTCAAACAAAATCGGACAGTGTAAGGGTCTGATTATTCATATTTCGCATAAGTTTCAAACAATCATTTTGTATACATTCCATTAACCAGAAATTAGCAAAACTTGTAAAAACTTAGCGATCTGTTTAGTTTAGATTTTGCTGTCATTTTCTTAAGTGACATTTTAATTGCAGTGGTTGTGCAAAGTTATGCATAATCAGATGTTAAATCGCAATTCAACCGTAAAATGTACGTGTTTCGACTGGTCGATTCTTCAGACGAGGTTACAATCGACTGAAATCGACCCGTGTAAAGGCCGCCTTACCCAACCGCCGATGAAATTGACCAGACGTCTTCACGTGATGGAAAATCTCGCTTGCGTGACGACGCATGCGAGAAACCGCACGTGCAGCCCGCAAAAAGTACGAAGCATGCTTTTTCTCGCATACGGAGCGGTATGCGAGCTCTCGCTTGCTTTCAACTGTCATTTTTGTTGTTTGACAGCTATGTTCTCATTTCGCAGAATTCTTCAGAGTAGCAACATCGTTTATTTTGGAGGCAATTACAAATTAAGAGGCAGCCATTTTTCATTTGAAAATAGTATAAATCTCTTTATGCAGATTTTCTAATTTTCTCAAACTTTTAAGAGCCTACCAGGCTTGAACCTTCTTGTTTGGCGACATTTTACAAATGAAAAAGTATGCTGTCAAATGCCCAGGCAACAAAACTCTATCTCGCTTGCGAGAAAAAAGCAGAACGCAAGCGAGATTTTCAAGCATGTGAAGACGGCCGGTTAAACCACTCAAGGCCAGAATTATTCCAAGCATGATACTTTCACTTGTTGATTGCTGAAGGTTTATGGGTCGATTACGGATTGCAACCGAACTTCAGTTGGGTAGCCAATGGCTGAAATGGTATTACAGATGGCAACTGGCAGCTGAATTGCTATATTGGCAACTGCATTTTTTTTAGTGGCCGCAGAAATTTTGATGGAGTATTTCTTTTTTCAACTGTTTCTTCAGCTTATTTACATTCAAGTCTTAGTTGCTGGTTTTTCAAAATTTTATTTCCTTCAACTTTATAGAACTTAACTATAGTTGCTATTCATACGGGCAGGCTCTGTAATTCACTTCCGAGTGAATTTCAGCCCCTGCCAATTTTAATTCAAAGCGAGTTTGATTGAAATTCACTCCAAAGTGAATTGCACAACCTGCCTGATAATATACATTTTCATTTCAGTGGCGTTGCCTATCGGCAACCCAACTGCGGTTACGTTGCGATCCATAATCGACCCATTATATTGAATTAGTGATGCCGTTGGTCGCACCACTAAACAAGTTTTTTTCTACATACATATAATAAAAAGAAGCGCAATTACCTCCTTGTATCCCGTTGTTTACATTTTATTACCTTTTTGTAATATGTATATATTGTTTGTTAATTTATGTTTATGATAAACACATACTTGCTCTTAATAGTACATTAATTAAATTGTATTTAATTCCATCGTCATGTTGCTAACCTTCAAAGACTTTTTAAAATTTTTTTATTCGATTAATCTTTTACACATAAATAGCAATTTTCATTTTTTAATACGTAGTATATTTTACAACTTTTATCTTCCCTACTTCTCGTATCGTTTTTGTTTAATATTTGTTGCCCTACCTCATCCGGCAAAAGATGGCCATTGCTATTACTAGGTTGGTTGTTTTGTTGGCTTCCCGGGATCAATGCATGCGCGTCTCCCAATATTATATATGTATATAGTACTTGTAATGTTAATTTTCGTCGGGCCAGTAACACGCCTCAACTTGTCATTTGGCAATTAAAATCAATTATGCATAGATTATAAAAAATGAAAGCGGCGCACGTAAAATTCGAATTTTTTTGTTGTTGTATGGCCAAAAGATTTCATGCACTTACTTTTTTCTTTTGTTTGTTCATCTGACTCAACACATGGGTCATGTATTTGTAACATAAATTACGCTTATCTACCTGTTGTTTCGCCCTAAAACGTGATATATTATTTTGGGGTCAGTTTTTAGATGTTTCGCTTTTTAGCTAAAACTTGGTGTCATTACGTACATATGCCTGTATATTTAAGATTTTTGTGTGGATTGGCCACACTACATACTGATAGTATTAGTAGTTGTTGATTTCTTTTCACTTATAACTTTTTTCATAGACATGTATTTTAATGTATAATATAGTATATTTTAATTGCTTTTTTCCATTTGTTGTATGTTCAGAACATATTTGTAAACATTTTCCTATGATGTGAGAAATGATTCATTTTATATGCTGTGTATATATGTATGTATAGTATATGTATACTTGATGTTACATGTGTAGATTATAATGAATTTATATGGTTATCTGCCAGCTTATGATGTCGTCGCCCTAATGTCGTTGTTTGTAGGAGCAGGAAGAGGTGGAGGTGGTTGGTTACTTTTAATCTTCATGTTTTAACTAGAACTTTACTCTAAGAGAAACACGATGTAACGCTGTTCTATTCAGTTTATTTGTTTGCATGCCTGCTTTTTAAGACCCTATCCAATCTATAATGCCCGTCGAGTCATTATGTTATTCACCATTGCTTTGTGGCTTTTGTTCATCTTCGGATTCAGATTCTGTAAAGTAAAATGAAATATTCCTCTGTGAATTATGCGAATTTTTTCAAAACTAAGTTAGTATAAAATTTTTTTTTTGTAAAAGTCTTTATTGGCCTAATAAATCTATATGTTGCAACGCAAACTCCGATTTTTAGGCAAGCAAAAGCTTTAAAATTTGCTTTGGCATTTTTTGTTTACAATGAATGTGTTGATTTTCAACTAACACACGCTCATTTTCGGCAATGCCATTTCAAAATATAATGCAACAAAGTAATACAATATAAGTTTCAGATTACTAACTAACCTTCTTCAGCAGATTGCAGCCATTCGACAAATTTTCGCATCTGTTCCAGGAAATGCATTTTACCCTTACTGGAGTGGGCATCTTTGTACCATCTGAGTATGCTCTCTTCTGATAATACTTCAGCTATACAAAATATAAACATGTTAAACAACGATTTTTACAAAACAGCTGTACTTACTTTTGTAGAATAGCAATATGATCTTTTGGAAGGCCTTCATGAAGTTCATGTTTTCATAACAGAACTCTTGTACCTTCAATATCAGGGCCAACTCAGAGCGATCTGTTGAGGCAAAAGCCTGCAGCAATGGACAATAGCCTTTGAGATGTCGTACCGCCTGATCGGTGACCAACTCTTCCTTCTTGTTCCATTCACCGAGCGACATTATAGTCGACCAAATCTGTAAATTTTCGTATGATGTGTTAGGTTAGTTTTTGTTTACTAACTAAATTTCGCTTACTTACAATGATTATAATCTCGTGATCGGGAATGTTATTTCGCTGTGCGAATTCTTTAATGTCTGCCGTGATCTCTGAATGTGCTTTTTCGTCATTGATATCATCGATAAGCGTTTGTTGGAGTTCACGCTTGGCCTCTTGACTGGCCTGTGCTTTGTGTAATTTTATGATTTCGGTAAGATCCTTTTCAAGAAAAACTTGTTTTAAATATTCTTCAGTACGTTTGTTTGGTGGGAAAAAGTCCATTAATCTGAAAAATATGAATGAAAAAAAAAACATTCTATTTTTAATATTCATAAGAAAAATAACTGATATTATAGAGATACATATTACGATGTAAACGTTGTTTGAAATTCCATTGAAACCCGAATATGCGCTGGACATATTCGCGAGTGTAATAAAACCTCATTTTTTCTCTTGGGGAGTTAATTAATGAAATTAACTGGTGAAGTTATTAATTTCAACCTGAAACCCTCCAAACAAATGACACTTTCGAGTAATGTATTTGCGTGTAAAAGTGATTATTGGCCAATGTTTCTATGATAACTGCAGAAGTTTGGACACCCAATCACTTTCATGTTGCTTTTGCACGCTTGCACCAGAAATTGACAAATTAAAGCTTTGCTTCAAGTCAAAATCATTCTCAAAAAGTGTGCGGAAAGGCATATTTTCATCGACTTCAGAAAAAAAAATGTTTGAAATTAAATTTAAACCCGAATATGCATTGTACATATTCGCGAGTGTAATAAAACCTCATGTTTTCTCTTGGAGAGTTAATTAATGAAATTAACAGGTATGGATATCAATTTCAACCTGAAACCCTCCGCATCAATAGGTGCCATATGTTATTTTGAATGGTGAATTTTAATGTAAGAGTGATTATTGGCCAATGTTTCTATGATAATTGCAGAAGTTTGGACACCCGATCACTTTCATCTTGCTTTTGCACGCTTGCACCAGAAATTGACAAATTAAAGTGTTGCTTCAAGTCAAAGTCATTCTCAAAAAGTGTGCGGAAAAGTTCACCAAAGGAAATTCATATGCATAAGAATTATTATTTTTTTTTGCACTGTCAAAGCGATTATTGGCCAATTTTTCTACTGCATGAAGAAGTTTGGACACCCAATCGCTTTATTTTTCTGTAGCACACATTAACAATGAAAATATGTGATATTTCATGAGATCCATTGTGCAGTGTGCCGAGTTCATCATAATTTCAGCTTTGAATAATCTAATAATCAGCTACATTTCAATATACATACACACTTATGTGCATACATATGTACGTGTTAAAACGATAATTGGCCAGTTTTTCTACGACAAAGAGAAGTCTGGACAGCCAATCGTTTCAATTTACTCTTGCACACTTGTACAATGAAATTGATACATCGACTTTTAAATCGAATCAAATCCATTCGCAAAGTGTGCAAAGTGGTAACAAAGAAAAAATCAAGACCTATAAAACTATTTCATGAATAGAAAGATACATAGTGTGTGTAATTAAATGCATCAAGGCAAACGATCAGACGTATTTATTTCTAAACTGTAATTGATGGAAATATCCAATATGCGCAACCACGATTAAATGGCTAATTGGAACTTAGTTGCGTAAATAAGGCATTTGCATCCGTTATAATTTAGAAGTAAAAAGAGACTGATGCTTTGGCTCGATGCATTTCTGAACGCACCGATATTTCAATGCTTAATGATGTAAGCGCCATGTCAAAGCGATTATTGGCCAATTTTTCTATACATTAAAGAAGTTTGGACACCCAATCGCTTTATTTTGCTCTTGCACACTTTCACAATGAAAATATGTAGCGTTTCATTAGATTCATTGTTAAAAAGTGTGCGATTAAGCCTTTAAATTTCTTCTAAAAAAAATAAACAAATTAGTGCTATAAATACATCTATGTATATCAATTTACATATGTAATAAAAGTAGATTGTACCATTGCAGCGCGTACTTATATCTAGTTGTAAACATATATGTATGTGTACATATGTAAATGATGCTTTTTTTTTGCAATAATCAATATGAATAATACCATTTCACTTACTTGCTTTCAAGTCCACCCTTTTTGAGAGCTTGTACCAGATATGAAATGCCCTTCTCTTGTTTGAAAGCGACAAATACCTCGATAAGGAAGTCGATAGCAATGCCATCCTTAATTAAATGCTCGTTGTTCAATACCAACAGAACATTCGGGGGCACAGAACCATTAACTGCAACAATAATCAGACATCACATAATCAAATATCAGTAATAAATATAAAAAAAAATTTGGTGCTTTCTATTTAAATGTTATTGGGTTTGTGTCTTTTGCCTCTAGTAAATAATTCAAAAGTCAGTACGCCAAAATAAATTAATATTCCAACTATTTAATAGTCTTCGCATAAGGTACATGCTGTACAAAACTGCTAAACCAAATTTGGATAATTGGAATATGTACAATTAAAATAAAACAAACACCAGCATTTACTGCTACTTACCTAACCAGAGCGCTGTCATACGCGCAAGTTTGGTGCGTTCACTCGGAGTAAAACCTTTAATGAATACCAACACCTTTTTCATTTCCTCTTCGAACATCTTCTCCAAGTACTTATATCGACGCATGAGCTTGACGAATACCTGCAAAGTTAAAAAAAAAAAATCATCAGTTAAACACATACACACTTATTATCTTTTTCACAGTGAGACTTAACTCAAATTCGGTAGGTAACTATCATTAAAAAATCATGTTTCTCTTGTCGCAACATAAGAAATCTTTGATTTGCACTATGTTGAAACAAATCAAAGACAAGTAAAGATGTTACGTTTACTATTGCATACATTCGACACCATCTGCCGCAACGAGGTGCAACAAGATTGCCAGTCAGCGGACGGCTCTAATTGTATGCGTTTTGGTTAACCATTTTAATAACTTAAGAGCTAGTGACTCTATGTCGTGTTTAATTTTCTTGTCGCAACATAAGAAATCTTTGATTTGCACTATGTTGAAACAAATCAAAGACAAGTAAAGATGTTACGTTTACTATTGCATACATTCGACACCATCTGCCGCAACGAGGTGCAACAAGATTGCCAGTCAGCGGACGGCTCTAATTGTATGCGTTTTGGTTAACCATTTTAATAACTTAAGAGCTAGTGACTCTATGTCGTGTTTAATTTTCTTGTCGCAACATAAGAAATCTTTGATTTGCACTATGTTGAAACAAATCAAAGACAAGTAAAGATGTTACGTTTACTATTGCATACATTCGACACCATCTGCCGCAACGAGGTGCAACAAGATTGCCAGTCAGCGGACGGCTCTAATTGTATGCAAACAACAAATTTTTATAATTAATTTCATATCCATTACCTGCTCATGGCTGCGCATCGTCTCAATGTCTTCATTTGCTTCGAATATGCAATAACTTGTGCGGGGTTTCTCGCCATCCTGAGAGATTGATCCTCCCGGAACTGTAAGCAAAATTTTTTTATACGTTGGTATTGCAGTTTCATTTTTATTCAATTTAATTAAAACATTTTTTCGCTGTACACACCTAAGAGACCACCAGCAATTAATATATCAAATAGTACTTCGCCGTAGCGACGATAATCAAGTTTGTTACCAGCGCTGTCTAAATATTTAGAGATTTGTTCCAAGTCACCTTCAGTTTTTTCGAGACCAGCAATGACCGCATCACGGAATCCCGTTGGGTCATATTTCTCTCTTTCATCTCTTTTTCTGGTCTTTATGCGCTGACCTGATAGTACTGGTCTTTCAATTTTTTGACTCATACAATAAATTGCTGCAAGAAACATAGAAAAACCCAAGTAGTAAAAACCTTAAAAAATAAGATAACTTACAAAAAAAGGCTTCGTCTCACTTTAGCAGTTACTAACTATATAGTTATATATGTAGCTACTAGTGTAGCTATAGGTATGTAACTCTTAGCAGTTTTTTTTAGGTTCAAAATACAAAAAGACCACGTAAATATATTGAAATCCTATAAATAGCTAAATTTAATAACAGCTGCCATAATCCATGCCTACTGGTATAGTAAATCATGTGGCGCAAAAACACGCCACTACACTTTCTTCTCTACCTTCCGCTCCCACATGGCGTAGCTGAAGAATGTGAGAACTGCATATCAAGTGTCAAGGTGCAAGTATAGATTCATAATAAAAAAATAAAAATACCCACACAGTTGACAATTGTTAATTAGCCACATTAACAAGCTTTATGTCGTTTCTACATCAAATATACAAAAAAAAAAAAAAAGTTGGGCGGTTAATTACAATTGCATTCTAACCTCACTTCTTGAAAATCTCTCTTACTTTTTATTCGTGCTAATTGTGCTGACACCATTTGGCGTTCCCAAAGTATTAATCATCCAGCACACAGCGACAATAAAAAACCTCACTGTGTAAATTTAAAAACGAAGTAAAATTTCTACCTTAATCGAGGTCAATGCTCAACACACATGTTGCAGTCGCAGCCACGCCAATCAGTCGTTAATACTTTGATACCTATATGTATATACATATATAAAAAATTAACTATACATACATAAGTATCTAACTAAATTCAGTAATTAGTTTGAATAATACCAAAAATGTACCATATATCCTGGCAACTGAACCTCAAACTTTCCCAAAATATCCGTCACAATTACATATTTTAGGTACTTACAAGTTTCAAATGTGGAAAATTAAAATACTAGTCTTCACAAGGAGTTTCCGTTTATTGCTTGACCTCCCACAACAGACAGTAAGTTTATTCTCTTTGTTCGCTTTAGAAATTTGTGAAATTTCAAGCTGGCGAGTTCGTCACTAATCAACTGCAATAGGCTTCTACTTATTGTTCTTTCCTCTTTTTCTTGTCAATTCCGCTTTATGTCCGTCTTTATAATTGCTCAAAAAAAAAAAAAAGTTGACACGCATGCACTCACTATAGAAATGGACTTTCTTTTTCTTTCCTCCTTTCAAATTCTCTTCAGTTCAGTTTTTTGGCTATATCACAGTTACTTTTTTTTAATATAATTGCAAAAAATACAAAATTAAACTTAGATAAAAAAATAAAGGTTAAAATAAGGCAGAACGTGCGCCTTCAAACTATGATCACACTTCTATTACCGAACGATACAGAGGAAGTGAACGATAGAGCTGGGATACTATCGATAGTTGGAAACTGTTGCCTATACTGATAGTTTTTGAAAACATCGATGTCGGTGTTTAGCATATCTTCACTATATTCTCTTCAAATCTCTACACAACTTCATGGCTCGAGGCAATTTCAAGCAAAAGTAAAATTTTAAATATTCATACATTACAGAACAATTCACTATTTATATAGGTAAATACATTATTCTTATATGGAAGGAAATTCACAACACCGTCACCAAAAAAAATACTAAGAATCATTATATGTATTAAAATTTTATTATGCTATAAAACTCTATACATAATTTTTTTATAGAAATTTGAATTATACATCTTGAAACATTTATAAAATTCAGATTTTGCCCCCTCCCTATTGCATGGAAATGTATGTATGTACATAAGTATACATATCTAGTTAAGATGTACTGATAAATTAATAAGTTTATTCTATTATTATAAAGTTCCTTTAGATTCATTCAAATAAAAAAAATATGTGTAAGTTATAAATTTTCAAAGAATTGAGGTTTTCAATTGAACTCTGGTTACATAATGTGGTTCACGACGAAAGTACTATCGATGTTTTCAACTATCGAGTGGCGATACTATCGATAGTGTCCCAGCTCTAGTGAACGAAACACAAAAGATGGTGAAAACTAGTGATGTGCTGAGTCAATACTTTAAGTATTGATCGATACTCGGTACCGATTTAAAAAGTATCCAATATTCTCGAATTTTAGGTTTCGAATAAAAGCGCACATAGGGCAAATATACGCAAATAAAGGTTCAGGAAAAACTCGCCTATCAAAACCCGCAAGCAGGAGCCAATAGAGCTTTTAATACTGATTCAAATGAAAGATGTATATATGTCGGTTCGAGGCCATAATGCAGTGAAACTCTATAACTTGTTTGAAGCATTTTTGTTCTAGCTGAATCGTAAGATATAAATTTTGTAGGCCTGGTAGCAGATTCTGTAACCAGTTATCGACAATTTTCGAATCGGTATCGCTTTTGTTGACGTATTGTGGAGAATTAAATTACCACATATGATTAATTAATAAACTAAAACGTTTATTTAATCATCTTCCAAAAACTTAAAACTAATGACAAGAACTTTTATTAGAATGTGCACGTTGAATGAATGACTTCGAGAATGATCTAAAAACCTCACTGGGAAAATTTTACAGTTTTTAACTTGCAACAGCAAAAGTGAAAAAAAACAAGAGTTAAAAAGGAATAGAGGAAAAGTCAATTCAACAAAAGTGTTGCCACGCAAGGCGAATTCATGTTGTGTTCCCACAGTATCATATGAAATATTTTTACGTCAACAAGTGCGATATCGAAACTTGTCGCTAACTGGTTACATAATCTCTCCCCTGAAAGGCTTCATTATCCGTTAAACCATTTTTCTTAAACCTTGCATCGACTAAGGTTAAAACTGATAAAATAATATCTCTGTTGCGATAAGTTCAAGTGTTTTAGCCGATATCACATAAATTAGTAATGAAAGTGTGTTCTAAACTTAAAATGCATATAATGGCGAAGGTTTAACGTAAAGAATCGGTATCGGGTATCGAAAAGAAAGTATTGAGTACCGAAATCTTTTTTAAGTATTGGGTACCGACAATTCAGCACATCACTAATGATAACGCAAAGTCAGCGTCACCGATGGCAAAGTTGTCGTTCCCCTTTCTACTAGACCGATAGAAAACATTTTATTATTTTTTTTGCTAGCTATATTTTCAATACAGATCCAAATAAGGTAAATTAACGTAAATACCACATAAATGTATACAAATATAACTATATGAAACACCAACATTACCCTCGATTCTAAATTTGCCTATCGTAATCAATGGCAGCCCTAATCACCATTTTCGAAAGTGAACCGATTTCGCTCGTGCTGTACACCGCCATTTTCATTTGCGAAATTTCTAGCGCAGCGTTGCATTTACGTGTACAACTTTGTGTGGGCAGCGGAACGTGGTCTCCCCACCGCGCCAACTTGTCTGTACCCCACCACTAACAATTACTTGACCACGGCGACCTTATTTAATAAATTACCCCGAGACTACAAATCTCCTCAAAACAATTTCTAACAAAATTTACTTTGGATAAATCGAAAATATTTAAATAAATAGGGTATGACAACACCTAAACATCATTATGCTCGACACAGCAATCCACCATCTTGGATGATTCAGCACCTTATCTTCATTTCGGTCCTTTACACCAAATATTTGTTTTTTAATTCTTTTAGGTATAAATACTATATGAAAAAGCTTGTATTTTACTTACGATTAAAACAAAAAAAAATTTAGCTCGGCCGAGAAAATTTAGTAAAACTTTGCCTGGATTATCAACACACACCACTACTTTACTTTAATGCAGAATGGGAAGTGAAAATTCACGAAAAAATTTTTACGATTTTAGCTGTTCGACTGCGAACGAGAAGAGATAATTAAATTTCGTTCCGAAAGGCGCAAGATAGCATATGTGCAAGTGAGACAACACGATTTTGCTGACAATCCACAAACCGGTTCAAGGTGTGTTTAATCACCTGCGTGCTGCCGTACGAAAGAAAAACTTCTTTGCAATGAAGGTGTACGAAGGGCGTTTTCACACCACCAAAATTGCGCAATTTCGAAACTTCTCATTTTCAGCTGAAACTGCGATATGATTCTTAATTTGACCGAAGAACGTAGATAATAAGAAGGAAACAACACGTTATATTTGTAACGAGGGTGAGTTGCGGGAGCGTGCCCTACCGTTTTGTCTCGCAAGCGAGATAGAGTTTTGCTGACTGGGCATTTCACAGCATACTTTTCCATATGTAAAATTACGCCAGAAGAGAAGGTTCGAGCTTTCCAGGCCGACTTTATATTTTCCACCAAAATAATCGAGGTCCTACTCTGATGAATTCTGTGATATAAGAAAATACCTGTCAAACAGCAAAAATGATAGTTGAAAGCATGCGAGATCTCGCATACCGAGCGAAAGTATGCTTTGTACATTTTGCGGTCTACACGTGCGTGATCTCGCATGCATCGTCACGCAAGAGAGATTTTCAGCACGTGAAGACTGCCGGTTATAGGTGGCATACACGGTGTGCAGTGTTACCAAAGAACGTAGATAATCTATCTATCTACGTTCTTTATCTACATCAGGAGTTTTAAAAATTGGCTAAATTGGCGTTTCCACGCTGCCCCGAAATTGATTGTTGAAATTGCACAATCTGGCCGATGTGGAAACGAACCTTTTAGGAAATTTTTAAAACTCTTGTAGCTTTGTTTAGAGCGCTTATTGAATTCACCATTGTGAACATATTTTGGCAGATAACGTTCTCTGATGTTTTTGTAAATAAAGTAAATTAATAAAATTTTTGTATAAAAATGTCTAATTTACTACGCTTCGTAGGCCAAACCATTTGCCGCAAAGTAGCTCAAACAAATCGCAGCATAACAACCACCGCTCCGCTTTTGATAAAAGAAAGTAAGTAACGAGTACGCAACTTACTACTTTAGGGTTCTTGTTTCATAACTTTTTCATTTCCTGCTTTACTATTAACATTTAATTACATTAAATTGTAGTTCAGGAGAAAATAGAGAAAAATGCACTTGTTCTACAGGCTGTCACATTACCCTCACCACGTGCTGAACGTATGGTAAAAGAAGCTTGTGGCACAGGCTTCTGTCCGGAGTGCACACTTGGCTTGGATATCAAACATACAGATGTGCTTATATTGTCCCAATATGTGCGCTCCGATGGCTGTATGCTACCGCGACGTATTACAGGATTATGTCACAGGCAGCAGAAGCGTATTGGCACATTGGTCACTATGGCTCAGAAGGCGGGTTTAATGCCTAATTTGGCGCCGGCATGGAGTAAAAAGAATCCAAAGAAACGTTTCGGCTGGCGAAAATATAACAAATACTACCTTGAGGAGACTATAAAGTACTAAATTTAAGTTATTAAATTTGATGAAAAAATGCATGCGTTTCCTTTTTTTATATGAACTGGACTGAAGGTGTTTGGTCTGAGACTTATTTTGAAAGGAGCACAACTTATCAAAACGCACTAAAAATTTGTGGTTTTAGTACTATAGTATCTACCAGTTACTTAATGAATGTATAACTTTTTAGAAAATCTCGCACATAAATAGATTGAGTAGTTTTTATTTTATAGCAACCACCACATAATGATGTAAAAAAATGGTATTTTAAAGCAAAAATTGGAATAACTGTATGACTATAAGCAGTGCCATAATTTAGTTCTAAAATTATAAAAATGAAAAACAAATGTGTAAAAAAATTGTATCAATGTTTTTTTAGTTCTTCATCAGCTTTTGATCGCAATGATGTTGTTCAAGTGCTGCCAGCATTGCATCTAAAAAGTCGCTCAATCGAATTTTTCCATCCAGATCATAATCTGAACTGGCTGTATGCACTGCATGTGCCAAAAATGGTAGTTTACGCAAAGTGCGCCCGCTCAAACCATTGCTACGCTCGGCTAATGCTGATAACAATCCTTCATGTCGTTCGTCCTCAGTTAATGATTGTTCATTTATTATTCCAATGCGCATCATTTCCGTTAACATAGTTACGTAAATGCGTTTTACAGCCGCAGCACTTGGTAATCCAATGTACTGTTTGATGTCGGCACGATCTAAGAATGCCAAATCAATGGTTTCAGCTAAATTGGACGTTGCCAATATTAAAACATTTGGATGCTCTTTAATGGCATCGAGTTGTGTCAACAATGCATTCACCACGCGCATTGCATCCTTTGGTTCTTGGCCAGACATGCAATCACGCGCATAGGCGAGCGATTCAACTTCATCAATTAATACACACACTAGATTGTTAGGATCGATAACAATTTCGCGTATTTTTGCAAAAAGACGCATAACTAATTTCCCGCTCTCTGAAAACCATTTTGAAAATAGACTGTGGCTATTGATTTCGATGAGATGTGTATGGCGAAAAGTACGACGCACACGAATAGCTAATTTTTGTGCTAGAGCTTTGCATAAGCTGGTCTTACCAGTGCCCGGAGGACCATGTAATAGCAGCAGACGATTACATGAGATGATGTGCGGATTTACACTGTGCTGGGAGAATATCAGCGCGGAAAGTGCAAATTTTAGGAGCTGTAATGAATGAATGGAACAGAGGAAACTACAGGTTTAATTAAAAAAGAGTTACACACCTTCTCCTTCAAACCATCTTCATAAATAAGATTCTCCCATAAATGCAGAAAACTGTTAGATGGCAAAAGCCAATGACTGGACGCAGGTACTGCATCGCCATCGCCCGCATCACCCGATTCCACATCGAATGTTTCCAGCTCCATTAAACGTCTGTGTGGGCAGTAGAAGTGTAGAATTAAATGCTTCAAATCCGCATCATTGAAAAACTGCAGAAGTAACAAAAATTAATATAATTATAGAGATGTAACAGCTTGCAACTGCTACCTCGCCAATGCGTTTGGCTTCACATTCTATTAAAATTGATTCAACAAATTGCAGTTCCTTCAGGCCAGAATTGCTCTCAAAGGTAGAACCTTCTACTTTTACAGATTCACCTAGCGGCACTTTCACCATAGAAAGATATTCACGCATGGGTGCGTCAAGCAATTCTTCCAGCGTTTCCAAACGGCTATAAATACATATCGAGTTCATTCAGTGGATTTTTTATTTCATGCGAAACCTACTTACTTTTGATTAGGCTTAAGACATATTTCTACATGCACACTGTATTTTGCACTTAACAAATTCATATTTAGCGTTTAATTAGAATTTTTAAATTTTGCGAGAGGTAAATGACAAATCCTTTGAAATGCTACTTCTTCTTTGTAAATGCTTACGTTCACAATAGAACTTTCAAATGAGTACAGAATTGCCAAGCTAATGTGAAAGGAAATCGTCCTAGTTTCGTTTTAAAGAATTTGGATTTTTTAGTCCTTGTGTTCACACTGGTTGTTGTTGTAGCAGTATACAAGTTCCGCAAATAGTTTTTGGGTAGTGTTGCTGGAATGACAGTCCTTGGCCAAATATAAATCTGGGTCGTTTCGGTTACGTAGACCCGACTGTCGTGGAAACGTGTCCACACTGGTGATTTTACTCAGCGAAATTCAATAACACTAGCTTTGTTCCCTAACAACGGGTCATGGATGAAAAAGAAGATAAGATCAACGTTCCCACGACAGCCGGTTCTACATACCGGTATGACTCGGGTTTTACCCGACCGAGGACAGCTGTTTCGGCGATCTTACTCCATTTAGGTCGGCAAAATATCTCAAGCGTTGTTCGTCCATAGGGCTACATCTACTACATACTCTTATGTCAAGAGTTGACATCGAATCAAACCCTGGGCCAGAAACTTACACCTGCTACGTGTAACAGAGACGACCACACACAGACACAACTGCACGGTGTGTCAGACCAGGATATTCGGTAATATGACAACGGTCAAGGGCAACAGCTGCCTTGGCTGGTGCCAGTTTAGGGCATGTTTGTTCAGGTCTGCGCACCACGATAGATTGGACGCAAGTTCCAACCGAGACGCCGCCACCTAACACCACAGAGCAGCACCTGCTACAGCAGCCCATACAGCCACGGCCGGCCGGCAACACACATCACGCACGCCCCAAAATAAGTCTCCCTAGACACACGAAGCACCTACAATTCAACTGCAACGAACTACAGAGCAATATCGAGGAGATAACGGTCTATATGGGAAGGCATGGTATTTTGATAGCCGCGGTCCAAGAGAAGAAATTGCACAGCAACTTAACATCGTTGAATTGCGCCGGATACAACGTGCACCGCCGAGATCGCGGTGGCTTAGCATTCATCACGCACCACACCGTGCAGTATCGTCTTATCGAAGCAGACATCGACCGCAGGGATACCACCCTAGAATGTCAGGGCATTGCTATCCGGTCAGGTAATGTGGAGCTCGAAATATTTAACGTTTACATACCCCCTGTCACTAGCTGCCCGCCAAACCGTATGGTAGTTGGTAACTTTAATGCGCACCACGATCTTTGCCATTCAAGCCTGACAAACGATCGTAGGGGAACATATTTGGCTGAGCAGATAGACGATTCGATATTCAGCATAATGAACGAAGACGCATCCACCAGGATTATGGGCAGCTGCTGCAGCTCGCCAGATATAACAATAGTCAGCGCTGGTCTGATAAACAGCGTATCATGGCGACCTATGCTGACTTTGATATCATACCATCTGCTCATAGTCATAGATTGATAAACCTGCCGACTTTGCTTCCGTGGAACACCGGAACTATGTCAATTTTTCTAAAGCTGATTGGAAAGGCTTCGCGGAATTCACTGAGAGCAACTTCGCTGCGCTCCCCAAACCAACCGACTTCCACCTTGGTGAACGTAAGTTCCGCAGGGTTGTCACTGTTGCTGCAGCTCGCGTCGTACCAGCAGGATGTATTACGGACCCCCGTCCAAACTTCCCTGCTGAAGCGGCTGTTCTAGCCGATGAGCGTGACAACCTTCGTCAGGCCGACCCTGGAAATTCCCGTATTAGGGATCTCAACGCGGAGATTCGGCAGCTTGTGAACGTACATAAGCGGAAAAAGCGCCTCTGGTGCGAGTAAGCTTTGGTAAGTCGGTAGGCCACTCTCCAATCCGACGAAGCACGATGACGGGGTCGATATTTCTCTCGGCGACCATGCTTCGTCGGACCCGGAGCCATGCGCGAGCTATTTTAGCCGGCAATTCATACTGCATCTTCCGGCGGACAAAGCCAAGCGTCGAGTGACCAGAAGGCTGCACAAACTGTCAACAACCTATGTCCCCTCTGGCTTTCACTAGCGGTGAAGATTTGGTAGCTATCGGGAAAGGGAAAGCCTCCAAAGCCATGGAACCCGACGGAATATGCATGTTAAAGCTGAAAAATTTGGGTCCTGCGGGAGTAGCGTACCTAATGGAGGTCCTCAATCTGTCAATATCCACTCTCATAATCCCAGTCATCTGAGAGATAGAGAGGGTGGTCCCACTGCTCAAACCGGGGAAACCAGCCAACAAAACAGAGTCTTATCGTCCGATAACACTCCTTTCCTCGGTATCGAAGATACTAGAGGCCTTGCTACTCCCGTATTTCACGAACCATCTGACCCCAGCGAAGCATCAGCATGATTTACGTAAAGTGGATAGTACAAAAACAGCTCTTAACGCCATAAACACGCAGATAACACGTGGCCTAAATCGTAACCGTCCCTGTGAGAGAACTATTTTGATAGCGTTGGACCTGTCAAAGGCGAATGACACCGTCTCTCCCACAGAGGCTCAAACGGTGGTCGGCGAATTATCTAAGTGGTCGACACTCGTCAGTAATGTTCAGAGACAGATCGAGCAAACCTAGAAAAATAAAACAGGGGGTACCACAGGGTGGTGTCCTTTTCCCATTACTGTTTAACTATTATATTTTAAAGCTCCCTCAACCACCAGAGGAAGTCTCGATTGTCTCTTACGCTGACGATCGCTGGATAATGGCGTCTGGGAATGGAACTGATGACTTGTATTCGAAAGTAAACGGTTACCTCTCCGAGCTTCTTCACTGCTAGGAGCCTAACCCTCTCCCCTACAAAATCCTCAGCTACCCTGTTCACCACCTGGATGAAGGAGGTGAGACTGCACACACAGCTTGCTTGCAGAGGAGCCCTCGCCAATGCACGTCAGAATGCATCAATACGAACTGACGGACGAAGTCCAGAGGTTCATAAAGCAACCTCTGGACCCGACAGCATATCATTTCGACTGGCCTTGAGCGGCATTCACATGGAGTCGGTCCAGACCTGTGAATGCTGTTCTGGGCACACAACCACCTGACGTGGACGAGACGGAATTTAATCCAGAAAATGAGAAAAATAACTTTCACGAGAAACCTCCAACGATGGAGAAAGACTAGTCGACTTTACTGGAGCACAAAACC